CTTCGTAGCCCGCCCTGTAATTGATAACGTCCACTGATTTTTGTTTTTCGGGAACCAGCGCCCATCGTGTGATTGCGCTTTTTTTGGGTGTGTGCATGTGTGTTCTGTTATTTTCTATTTAAGCATATGTCTGTCTGTGTTTGTGCGTGCTAGCATGTGTGAGAGAAAGCTAATTTTCTTTGCCGCACACCAAAGGAATAACCTCTGAATTAGTATTCAGTAATGAGACAGGGTGTGGGAATGATGGTGAATTTGTAAGCACGCACCATCTTCCCTAATTCCATTTAGGAGTCCTGTAAACACTTATAAATGCAGCAGATAGTTACAGCAGCACCCCCACCCCTGTCCTCCCCTCCTGCTTTCAGCTCTCATCAGGCTCGCACATCTCCAAAGAAACCAAGGGCAGGAGAGGAGGAGATACTGCAAATCACATTATGGGACATGAAATTAATCCAGCCTCCCCAAACATTTGGCCTTCACACAGTTTAACCTTGAAACTGCTTTTTACTTCCTTGCATGAAGACTTTATAAAAACCCCCTCTGTCACATCCAAGAGAGCAAGCCTGACATTACAACAATGGCGCTGCCGAGGTAATAATTCAATAGGATCCTTCACCGTGCTGATGATATGTTGTAATTTCATTTCACTTACGTCTGTTTCATTTTGTAATACACAATTGAGTAGGGGCACTTTACGTCCCAAAAGACCACTTCCTCCTTAAGATAATAAAAGCCTTTTGTGCTTGCCTTTGAGAAATCCTTGGTGGATTATGTGAGTGCAGATTTGGGAGCACGTCAATTAATATGCATTAAACGAAAGTGTATTAAGTTGTGAAAAAATAATTAATAACTCTAATTGCTGTAGTGCTGCTTTGCCAAACGACTCATACCTTAATGCTAACAAGATGGTCTCTGACACGGCCAACAGGGGCCAAAGTACAAGCGCTGCGTGACCTTTTGCACTGCTGAAAGACAATGCACCTTCACTTTATTACACGGGCACATCGCTCTCCCCTGATACTAATGTAGAGTGGTGCAAGGTAAAAGCACAGAGTGGCTGTTGCAGTGCATCCACTCCAATAACAGCAGGGGAAAAAAAACCTGCCAGCCAACTCTGAAGCCACATGAGGTTCAGCCTTACTAGTTTCAGTCAGAATAAAATACATCTGTTTGTGTTAGAGAATACTGTAGATCTCTTATGCACACCCTATCGCTGGATCTTGTCCCTTTGTATAGTACAGAGAATAGTGCTGGCACAGGGTTCCACTTTCCCCGTTACCACAAAAAAGACATCCACAGCTCTAATTATCCTTTACCCCTGTGTAGCTCTGGAGAACACAACTGCTGCTACTGTCAATGAAATTATAGGAAAGGGTGGGGGGGTGGGGGGTTGGTTAGCGATGATAGTCCCCCTCTAACCAAACCCACACTGAACACACGCGCTCTTCAATGTGCGTAAAAGTGAAGACTCACAATGCCTTAAGAGAAAAGAAAGGCAAAGAAATGGGAATGACAAGTAAACTATTTCTTTGAGATATCTTTTCAATACAGCATTTCTAAAGGTGAGAGGAGTTTTCAAAGCATGAGATAGTACCTCTTGCTGAGTAATGACATCTCTTGTTGCCGTGAGTAGCAAAGACCTTGTTTCCAAGTTCTCTGCTTTGACCAAGAGCAATCTGGGGCCGGATTTACCGTCTCGATCAGTTTGCGGTTCTACGGCCACGTTTTTCACAGCAGAAAAAGTAAACATTAAAAACACTATCCCAGCTTTCAGCTAAATCAATCTTCACTTTTCTTGGAAATAATGAGCACGTTGAGCGAGCTTCAAATGAACACCGTTGCTCCCGGGCTCGTCAGCTCTGCACAGTCACATCACACAGGCACTTTTGAGGAACGCAGGGAAAAAAAAGACGACTAGTCTTAGCCTTCAGAGACCAATTAAAACACATATTCAAATTGACCTAAAAGAAGCGTAATAAGGCATTCGTTTATGGTGCTGTCCCATACCCATGGTTTCAGGGTTTTTTTTCACACTGCAATTGTTTTCAACCCTGACAAACAAATAATCTCACCAGTGGAAAACTGAGAAAAACCCTCTCCCATCTCATCTCTGCAGGATCAAAGACTACATCGAGATGTAGTGAGCACGTAATTTTCACACAACATGCACACAGGCTCATTCAAAGGACATGAAGGCAGAATTTACCAGCTCTGTATGCACAGCATGCATACATTAGTTGATTCTTATTAAAGCCCACAGTGAACATTAGATCAGCATCATTACTATCTACAAAGAAAATACACTGAAAATAGACATCTTGTTAGCTTTGCAATTCGGCAAATATGGGAATTACACAGCATGGTGTATCAAATGCTACACGTGTCACTATAGCACTGAGCAAGGCAGCTGCAAATAATCAGTTGTTTTATCTACTAAAGGTCAAAATAAAGAAAAATGTCAAATGCAACTTTCCAGCACTTCAAAATGTTTCCCTCCACCCAAAACCAAACACATTCCATTCAAAGAAGGTTTAAGACAGTGAAAGAGTGACATTTTCAGGGAAATTTTCTTCCAGTCTACTAATTAATTAAAGCAATAGAACCTATTAAGAAAACAAACTTGAAATGGAAATGAGAAATTCAGGCAGCTCTTCAGCCAGTCAGAATTTTAACCATGACATATTTGGCAGCACATCCCAGCGGGCAGGCTACGCAGCAACTCTAAAACATGCTCCTTCTCCCTTCCACAGCACTTCTTGGGAAGCCGCTCTCATAAATCCCTTCTAATGGTTGCTGGCGAGGGAACTTTTTAACACAGAACTTAGCAGCCACTGTTATTCACCCGTATAGCGAGAGTCTTGGGATGATGGATGGTAATAAATATTGCACGGGGCTAACAGAGGTCCCCTCAGAGACGTTCAATTGCCTTGAGTGATAGGGTGCTGCTCGGCAACACAGGAGAGGATGGCAGAGGGCAGGCTCTTCACGGGGTCGGCTAACTGAGTCTGTTCAATTTCCTCTGTGGAAACATGACAGGTCCCATTCTAAATGATAACACTGACTCACAGTGTGGGAAGGTGAGCCTAACAAAGGGTGCCTTCTGCAAAAAAATATGTATCTTAACGTATGTGTGGCGATTTTATTGGTTATGAATGAGGAATTGATCCACTGTGGACCAGGAGTAATTGTGAATGTAGAATACCGCTCTGTGTTAGGAGCTCTTTCCTGCTGCACTTTTGCAGTTTATCGTTTTTTTCCTGACAAGGGAGCTCTGTTGAGCTGATCTGCCCACCATCTTAACTGCTTCCTTGACAATGGCTGACAACGGAGCAGATGTCCAAGCTGCACACATCTGTAACAGTCTGATATTCCTTAAGGCGCACACGCCCCCCCTCCCTTCTCAGTCAATACATGCACAGACAAAGAGGTCACCTCTTATTTAGCTTGCAGTGATCCAATTATTGACTTTGATTATATCAAGATTATACTTTTTCTTTTGGTGTGGGTGCTGGATGGAAATTATCTTAGTTGACAAGAATTAATTACTGGCGATGATGTTTTTAATGATGAGCGATAAGGAATTGGGATAACCCCGGTTCTTCATTAATCCAACACGTGTCCTGTTGTCATATTTTCAGAGTAATCAGTGAATTAATTAGTCCAATAATATGTAAGAATACTTTAGTGGGTGTAATTAACAAGTTAACACAAGGCAATTAGCAGCTCATTTATACGCTGCCTGCACCTAAAGGTGGCTGTAAACAGAGGAAGCACTTTCTTTACTACTTTTTTTTAAAGTTTACCCAACCAGAAGTGATACTTTATTCCAGCTGCAAATAACAGCTCAGCAATTAAAACAATATACACTCACCTCTATGTAAAATACAGCTAACTGATTAAGAGCAGGGACTACAGAAAACAGCTCATTATTCTCCTCTAGCGGTTTTCAAGTCACATCCTCTATGGGATCAAGAGAATGCCATCCACTTAACAACTGTTAAGTTAATCAGTTTCTAAAATCTTACTTTTATTTGGCAAACTGCACCTCTGCAGCTTCACACTAAACCACCAAATCCTTTCAGGTGAGTTTCCTAGGGGCAAAATGTCATCAGATGCAGGTGTTTGATCTTCTATCTATTTGCGGGGCCCTGCAATTCAAAAAAAAAGTTTAAGGGGCCCTCTGATCCTCCGTAACCATGCGTGACAGCTTATTGCAAAGCGTCTCCAAAAGAGGTCTTAAAATGTGTGCAAGGACACAAACACGTGAATGGTCAGTGACATTGTGATGCAGCAAATGTGCTCCTGTTGGGATGACTTGTGTGCGTGCGTTTTGCGCGTGCGTTTTTCTTTCTTTCCTTTTTCTTTTTTTTTTAAGAGACACAGGCTGAGCAGCGAGGAGCGCTGAAGATTACACAGGATGACGTCTTCTACAACACTATTATGCCTACAAAAACTCAGTCATTCGGATCAAGCATGGGGTATTAGAGGATTTATGAGCAAATAGTCTCGCTGGAAAGCACAACACAGCCTGTACAACTCCACAGCCATTCAACAGACACTCTACTAATGCACTTCCTATTTTCTTTTAACCGACACGCACTCCGTGAGGGGTCTGGCTGTGTGCAAAAACAATACACTCCGCATGCCTTTGCCGAACAGCTACCTTTCGCTATGTAAAGGTGAGGAACGTAAATGTCAATGCTGTAAGGAGGGAAACGCGGTCCGGTCGTGTCCACATTTGACACAGCGTGCTATATACGTGGTCAGAAATAATTTCCCTCCCGTGTGTACAACCCACCCCGACCGACCATTCCCCCATCTTCATGGCGCAGTAAGGTGGACACACATGGTCAGAGCCGTATGCGGACCCGAAACCCAACGGCGGCCAACTCTCTTTTGAACCCCCCTCCTCACCACCAACACCACCATCCCTCCTCCAAAACTGAATTACACGAGTTAAATCTGCACGGCTGGTGTTGCTTCTGTAAATGCAGTCTTACCTGGATGAATGGTATCAGATAGCAAGTTGAGAAGCCGACTTTTTCTTTTTTGTTTTTTTTAGGCACACGTCTGCGGCAGCATCATCCGCTTCGGGGACACGAAATAAGATTTGGAGTAATTCTGATTCCACCTTATTATTAATCCTCCGCGCGCTGCACGAGCGGCTTCTCTCGCGGGCGCTCTCTCTCTCTCTCCCCCTCTCTTTTTCTCTTTTAGGGGCAGGCGAGAAGAAACAACCGGATAGAGAGGAGTGATAGCCGAGCAGGGAACGGGCTACAATGTGTTGAAGCGAGTCCTTGTTTATTCAAATACGACGGAGCATAAACGCCGAGTAGGTGTCTAACTGCTTCTCTGCTTTATTTTGCCTCTCTCTCTTTCTCTCTCTCTTTCTCTCTCTCTTTGGCTGTAGTCACACTATGTCTAACTCTCTTTTTTATAAAGGCGGGGTCTTGGGTCGTTTAAACCAATGACATAAACCAAGAAGAAGAAGAAGAAGAACACCCCCCCACACACACACTCTCCTCTCTCCATTACCACCGTCTCCCCCCCCTCTCTCTGTTACACACACACACCTTCCTCTACCGCGGTGAGCATAAATGATGCGGTCATTTTTGGTTTCTTCCTCTCTTTCTTCTCTCTCTCTCTTTTAAAGAGTTTTTAAAACTGAGATAGTTTTAGTTTCAGGTGAGGAGTGCTTTTCTTGGGGAATGGCTTTTTTTAAAAAAAAATTGTGATGCTCAGAGCATTGAAGATAAGTTCAAGAACTCTTAAAAGTTAACTATCTGTCAAACTTCTGCTTCTCAGTTCTTAAAAACTGTACCAACTATTATTTTTTTTATCACTATGTTGAGGCTATATTGTTTCTAAGTATAGTTCAGTGTCTCTGAGCTCATTGTTTTTGTTTGTTTTGTTTTTTTAAAAGATGATTTCACCTTTTATATAAATCACAGTAGAGATGCTCGTCAATTCAATGCACGTTTAGTTTTATAGTACCAAATCATATGATCAATAATATAATGCAATCTTTCAAGATTCGGCTCAAAACTAAAATCTGACTCTGTTCTGCACCTTGTCTTTTATCCTGTCTTCATGAGCCTGGTTCTGCAAGGGATTTCTTCTTGTTGAAAGGGAGTTTTTTCTTCCCACTGTCACCAAGTGCTTACCCAAAGGGTTGTTGGATTGTTGGGGTTTTCTCTTTATTATTGAGAAATTACAATATAAAGCACCTTGAGGTGACTGTTGTTTTGATTTGGCATTGTATGAATAAGACTGAATTAAATTGCTCTACCCTGCAAAAATAAAAAAATAAAAAAAAAAAAATAACAATGAGATGATTCCTTAGAAGCAAGCACTTTGCGACAGTGGTAAGGGAAAAAACTCTTTTAACAGGAACAAACCTCTGTCCTGCAAAAGTCTGAGCCAATAGTAGAATAAGAAAGGGGTGGTTCAGGGTTCAGGGTCACCTGATCCAACTCTAAGTATAAACTTTATCAAATATAAAGTTGCAGTAACTAAAATTAAGAAATAGGAATGGGGCATTGACCAATGGGATCAAATCAAACATATTGGAATCAAAATGTTAATCACTTAACAGCACCACCACAACACTTTCATCTCACTGCTCTGATCAGTGTTGTTTGATGCACCACTCAGCATTTTTCATTAAAAAGTTACAATAAAATCCCTGTAAAATTCCTGTCTTTCGCCAAATGGCAGAGAAAACCAGCATCTAGCCAATCATGAATAGTTTAGGAAGTTATTTGCCTTTTATCTTCATTTTAAATCGCTGGCACGTCAAATCTCAAATACTTGGCGTTAACTGTAAAATACGCCATAGCAGTCAGTTCTGGCTGTTGGTCTGCCAGTGTTGCCTGAGAGCCAGATTATCTGTGTGTGGTCCAAATTTCAACTAGATGCGATGTCTGAGTGCACCGACCCCGACTTCCACTAACATGGATGACAAAATGTTGCATGCCTGTCACATAAATTCTACCCAACCTTCATAGGGTGATAAAACTTTTACAAGCAAATATGTCAAAATTATTCTTTCTTTCTCTCCATACAATGCTACCGCACAGAATTATGAATGTACCAGCAGTGCTTTAGTCTGCAGTCAATGTATAATTTATGGAATTGCTTTAACATACTACTAAGATGTTATAGGAGACTGTACAAGGCTGTGATATTTGTGTTTCACCCCATTACATTGTACCGATGATTAATGGTGCTCTTTAGTATGGATCACTGTGGGATGCTGCTGACTGAAAGCTCATAAAACAGCACAGCCAAGTGAGTAAAAGGTGAAGGAAGGGTAAACCTTGTAGATCTAAGGAGAGACACACTTAGATTTTTTTTTATGTTCGCTCTGTGTAGAGGGAGCGTTTTTACAGAAAAGGAGTTGTACAAATCTCAACAACCCAATATTGATTATGTTAGGAGTTCCTTTGCTTTCTCTAAAGTGATTATTCTGCAAGTAGTGCCGTGGCTTTTGTAAAGGCAGAGAATTTAATTTAGTCCTAGACATGGTTTAACTGTGCTGTACACTGGACTCACCCATGCTCAATTGATTTGACAAGAATATACAGCAAAGAGCACGTCCCCAGTTTTTTTTTGTGAAAGCGTGGGGCGCACGGAGGACAGCACATGATTGATTTTTACTATCTTTTTTTTGGAACTTGTTGCACAAACAACACACATTGATTCATATGATTAAACCATGAAGAGGTTGCCTCTGATAAACATTTTGAACGCTGCTACAGATTCAAGAAATCACAATGCATTTCTATATCTCATTCTCAATCTCATTACATTACAGAGCAAGCAATTTTTTTTTTAACTTTCTTATTGCTCTATTCTGTCTGACCTCCCTTCTCTATTGATCTCTCCATCAGTGATTGCCCACCTTTTGTCAGAACACTGGCTATATGTGGGGGCTGGGCAGCTTATAGCACAAGAAGACGAGAATTGAACCGAACTCGGTGAGATAATTGGAAAAACGGAAAATGGTGGCAGAAAACTGTGACTATTTTATGATATCAGATACTCCATTTTCACACTAAAGGAAGAAACACATCTACAGTAGCGCCACTTTGGAAATCCTTGATAATTTTCTATTTTTCCTTACAAAGCTGACCTGAAAACGTTTCACACGAGTTGCAAAACAGAACCCAGTTAATTAAAAATGACAAAATAGTGGTGTTTTTACAGAAAAACCATTGAGTGTTATTTATCTTTCTAACCCACCTTGTTTCCTGCAGCAGCATGCCTGTAGATTGCAGTTGAAAATTATCTTAGTATGAGGTTCAAGTATAAATATGAGGCCTCTAAAGAATCCTCTAAGTCTGTACCTAAGAAAAGGAATTGATGCTCATTGAGCTGGAAAAGGTCACAAAACCATCTCTAATTTTTCGGACTTTGCCTGTTATGTATCACAATCAGACAGATTGTGTACAAACGAAGGAAATGTGAGACCATTATTACTCCCCAATAGCAAGATCTAGAACAGCCTCTGATATGCTGCATCTGAGCCATTGCAGGTTGTTATCATTGATGGACAAATGAATTGTGAATTATACATAATTCTAAAGGAAAACTGCTCTCGAATCCTCGAGTCACACAGCAACCATTAGCACAAATGTTGATCATGAAAAGTTTTGGAGCGGCGATGTCAAAGTCCTGTCCTTAATTTAAAATAAATGTTGAGGAAGTACCCGAAGCAAGCAGTTTATGTGAGGAAGCTCACCGCCACATCACCAGTGGGCTAAAATTCTTCCAAGCCAGTATGCAAGCCTGATCGACGGTACTGGAAACCTTTAATTCATTTGTCTTTGTACTTTACTTACTTATAAGAAATGCTGATGCCTTAAGCCATATTTATGCAGAAACATAGAAAATTCAAAAGGATTTACAAAGCACTGTACTACATGGCTGCAAAAACATTTACAAATAAATGACAACCCACTGCAAAACGGCATACAATAATCACAAGCAGCTAATGTAATCTGTATATAGAAGCAGAAATCTTTTTAAATCTTCCATTCCCGCTGCTCATGCTGCATGCTCTCTGTTTTCCTTTGTCAAACTTAAAGTTAAATCAGAGCCAGCAATAAGATTTTATTGTGCTCTTTTATCATTTTAACAAAAGAATCGACAACCTTACCCAGTTTACCTCAAGTCAAAAAAACACTGGAGGGATGCACGCTATCAGATCCCCTTTAAAGCAACATTGTAAACAAATAGGAAAGTGCCATGTTGCTTTTTTTTTTTTTATTGTTGAACATGCAAAAAACAGTGATCTGCATTTCACATCGAATCCACCACTGCATCAACATAAAAGATTGGTGGAGATCTGTGGAGAGCCTTGAGTACTGGAGGAATTTATTCTATGCTGTAAGAAGAGGAGGTAAGGTTCAGTGTAGAGCAATATCAGACCTTCTTCTTCATGTTGAACCCTGAACTCAATCTCCATACTCACAAATTCACATGCAGAGTTCATGGCGAGTCCCCTGGAGAGCTGTGCAACATGCTATCTACACTACAGTCTCTGGAGACACACATCTTTCAATCTCCAGATGAATTATTGAAGGCACACCACCCCCACCATGTTTTTTACATCGGTTGGAATTAGTTGTTGCTCTAGAGTACAAGGACCATGTTGCACTGGAGGTTCGAGGGGCGAATTTATTTAAATTTCTTTTTGCTCATGTTGTGTTTCTAGTCATTTCCCCCCCTATATTTCAGTTCCCCTCCTATGAATCAGTTGCTTTCCCTTGGTACTTTACTCCCACCTTGAAGACTCTTTTCAAAAGGATTTTCCCCACGTACTCAGCTCAATTGCAATTTTCATGCACCTGCTCATCGCCACACTTTCCATTTCTTGGTAAGTTATTACAGCCTGATTTCTCAGTTTTTTTGTATTGTTTTTTTTTTTGGTTGAGTTGTAAAATATATTTATTATCTCTTATGAATAAAAACAAATCAATAATAACATGCACGGCTGCCAAAGCATGCCCCAGCACTTGTTTAAGTTGCAAAGATCGTTATGCATCATTGCTCCTACATGCTTAACATATATGAAGGCTGCACCACGCACCCACCCACCTACAACCTCTTTTTTTTATTTTGCTAATAAGGAAAGAGGGCTTCACCATGCAAGAATAAAGAGAGGGTGAACGGCTCAGACCCCCAATGGGTCTCCTTGAACTTGTGAAATAGGATTGACACCACACTCAGAATGCGCTCACCATGTAGGAACAGCAGACTGAGCCCCCCCAGGATGCTAAGCTGATTCAATTCCCCTAATGATGTTTGTAATTTAGGAGGCTAATGACATGCACTATGAACTGGAAGATTGTGTTTAGGAGATGCCTCTCGGAGTCAAGTGTTGCCTTGGCGAATGC